TGGCCGTATTGAATGGGTTTAAATTCAAGCTAAATATTCCAAACGATAAGAATAGTTTATGAAGTGCAGGAACTCATTATCACCCTCGTCAACTTCATTTCAACTTAGCTGAGTTTATCTTAAGATAATGGGGTTTAGTGATGTGCTGTTCAACTTAAAAGTTGAAATCCATTTAGGGGAATAATTGTCAGATGTGACAACACAGCAAAATAATTCATGTTAATCTAAATGTGAGTTTTAAAACCATTCTACACCAATACACAAAATGTACGATGAACTTACTCTGCACCCATCAGGGTTAATTTTTGTTTATAAAGTAAGTTATAATAAAACTTCACCAGCTCTGTGATTAAGCCATCGACTCCTTAACCCTTAATACGTTTATTACTAAAATACCCTTTTTATTTCAGAGGGTATCCTGAGTTTAATTTGAATAATTTGTTTACAAAATATAACATTTCCATTTGTAATAAAAGAAACAAACCCTTATAATTGTTTTAAGAGCACTGAACTTTTTATGTAATTCCTAATTCTAATTTCTGAGGATTAGTAATAGTTTTCAATTTACAAAATACCAAAACAAATATTGCCTGGCATTTGAGCAAAACTCAGGCAAAGTATTACTCTGATTAATCTCTGTAGAAGATTCCCAGTGTATTCAACAGCAAGACTATGAAGGTTCAGCTTTTAAACTCTGGGTGGCAGTGTTGATGCAATGACATGTTGCATGGCTTTGGAATGAAAATCCACTACTCTTTTGACATACTAAGCAAAACATTTAAATACTTAATTTCTTTTTCTGTTCTGTTGGTGTTACTTTATGTAATTGATTTTGATATTTTATAGTTAATTTTAAAATATGTTAAATTTCAATCCCTCTTTTAAACTACTGCACTGATGACTAGGTATAATCAACATTAAATTATAAATCCCTATATTGTGTGTCTAGTTCAAAACAGCTTCATAACCATCACTATCCTCATCCATATACATCCGCATATTGTTGTACTCAATATCAAAATAGTTTATATTCAATTATATCGGTTTAGTTTTGACATGATAAATAAATTAATTTAAACATTGCCAAAAGACAATAATTTAAACATGGCCAAGTTTGAGACATTTATAAAAAGAACACCTATGAAACTACAAGCCGTGTTTATCATATATCTATGATGCAAATGCAATAATAATATTAACATAGTCATACAAAGGCTGCTATGAATATCACCAACCATTCTTAATTGTTTTTTTGATATGTGATATTGTGATTATTTAAATTATTTTTATTATTAATAACATTATATACATATTATAACACTGTTATAGCAAAAATGATGAATGAGATTGTGTCAGATTATATAAAAAATAAAATGCTTCTATTTTGTGATATTATGGCATAGTACATTTATAATGTGAATAACAAATGATATACAGAGATAAATTAATTAATTTGATGGTATTGAAGTAATGCTGCACATGCAGCAAAAATGTTTTCTAATAATTGCAAAACCATTACTCTATATAATATACAATATCAACCTATCGTGTCATGTAACCATTTCTCTGATTAATTTTTATTTGTTAAAAATGCATACACAGAAAATGAAACATGATGATGGGACACTTTTAAAGATGCTAACATGCTAAATAATTTCAAACAAACATGTAGCTCTGCACTACTGCTGCTATGTGTCATTACTTCTACTGGTCAAATATTCAGTGATTATACTAGCGAATTGCTGCAGTTTGCCAAGCACGTCTGAGCTAAAATCAATTTCTCCTTGGTGCACCTTGTGTGCATTAATAGGAGGTAATTTAACAGGTAATTTGTTGCCTATGATGTATGTTTTGTGTTTACTGTAGACTGCAGTGGCCAATGCTGCTGTAAAAACTGAGCTGTTATAATTCTGCTGTGTCGGGAAGAACTACAGTACTGAATGTATTGCTTTTGTTGGATCACACTGGAGTCACAGAGGAACATGAGAGGATTTATGCCACATTCAGACATCTCTTCTTTGCACTACACATTTTATTACTGTGCAGCATTAAGATAGCATGGCAGAAAGATCTCTGTGGGCAATATTAGAGAAGCATAAAACAATTTCTTCAACATCTTTGACTTCTTTTCTGGCTCAAGTTAATATTGAGTTAATATGGTATTCATTATAGTATGGGAACGCTGCTTTCTCAGTGCCTTGCCGTTTTCATTCCATCTGTGTTGTAGTCACCTGAACATGATCTGAAGTCAGCCAGTCAACTGACCTGGAATCAATACAGTCAAACTCAGTGGAGGCAAATAAATCAGCCTGGCTCATTTAACCCATGAGAGTCCTGCTGCTTAGCAACAGCGGCACGGCATGTAATGAGAAAGGCATGTTTGATGACAAATAATTTATTCTAATTTCTTGTTTCTCATCCAACTTTGGTGACTCCATACTTTATATCCACGAGTCGTCTATCTCTATGCATATGTACCTATTTATTTGTGTACTGTAAGTCCTCATGAGGACATCTGAAATTCAGATCCCCCCCGCCCACACATCCAATGTCCATCACTTTTGTTGCAAAAAAAAAAGAAGAAGAAGAAGACGAAAAAAAGTATTTTTTTTTTTATCATGTTTTCTTTCTGGTATCTTTGTATCTGAAGCAGTAATTGTTTTGGGATATCTGTAATTTCTGCAGCTGCTTCAGTGTATCCCTATGACATCTGTTTCCATGCCTGTCATATAAAAACCTCTGTGTTGTAGTCTTTACCCATCATAACTGTCTACGAAGGTACTGGAATTTTACTGCCAGCTTCTTGAGCAGGAAATTGGTTTCACACTACTCTTAGGAAATTTCTGAAATATGGCATTGGCTTGCAAGATGCACCATAAATACAGATGTTGTTTTATACCAACCATCACTGACAAGTAGGACCTACTTAGAAAAGAGTACTTGTATTAAAACAGTTGAAAACTCATAAACGTTGGATGTGTTAGGATTTTTAATATGCATATGTATTTTAAGTATAGAATTTTTATTGATTGTTGGAAAACGATTGCAAGAAATGTTGCTGCCAGACTCCATTGTGCCAACTTAAATCAACTTACTGCAAACACAGCTCAATTTTAATAATTTCCGAAGATTTATTGTGACACATCTGAAAGTACTTTGAGCCAACATCACATCAACTGATTATAGTTTTATGATGATTCATGCACAGGAAGGAAAGTTTTGCATTCTGGAGGATGTTACATTTCATTTCGGCAATGATTCTTTGGCTCTGTTATTGGAAAATAACTGCTGCTCAGGTCTACATAATTGTAAACTAAGACACGATGCCTTCCTTGTGACTCATGAATGATGGTTAGCTGGTCTGAGTTTAGCTACAAGAAGTTGAGTAAGTCAAATAACTAAAGCACCTCCTGCTTGACTGGTCAAAAATATGACATTCATCATGTGGTAGTCTTACATATATGTTCACCATTAATTACCCATTCACTGTCAGATTTAATTTAATTTAATTTTCATGTTATGATATATAACCTTTAATTGACCGCTTAAGTTAAGGTATGTAGACATTGTTTTAAATTTTATCTAGTAACTTGACCTAACAAGTATTTTAAATCACTCAGTGACTGTTTTGAAGTGAGTGGATTTAAACTGAGCTACTATGCAGACCATTATAATAAATATAGAATGAATTGTAACTCCTTCTGATATTTCTCTGACTTCCCTATTAATAACAGACCGCATTAATTTACATCTGAATACCAGTTCCCATAGTTTTTTGTAAAGGCCTACAGTCTCATGTTATTTTGTATTTTAACAGGGCACTGACTCATAGTGACTTATGAAAAAAAGTAAACAGTAGTATTAAAACTTTTCAATTTCAAACTTTTCAAATTAATCAAATATAGAATTAAATTAGTAGTTATATAGAGTATATCATGCCTTTTCCCCATTCTGCCTTAGTGTCTGTTTAAATACACACAACTTACAGAAAAAGAAAAGGATTTCAATTACATACATCATAGCCTACATGGTAGTGGCATCAATTCTGTAACAACCGACCTTTATGAAATTACATATACTGTTGCTAGTGAGTTATGGAATTAATGCTTTTGCATGTTAAACTAAATAAATTAAGTATTAATTCCTATCTTCTATGCTATAGGCTAAAAATGTAGACCACATAAATAAATAAATGAATAAACAAATAAACAGGCCAACATCTATCAAGAATTTACGTCATACACAATGTCATACATTAAATTTGTAAAAAAAAAAAGAAAAACATGCAGAATGCACATTTATCAGGGTAAATAACTATATCATTATAATAATATAATTAATAATAATCACACTTTTTTTTCGTTTTTACAGTTGTGCATTCATTTTCCCAGAAAAAAAACACCAGGTGGTAGGCTTAGTAGAAAACTGTAAAGTGGTAACAAATTAAACTGTAAATATTGAAGGTAATACTGTAAAAGAAAATGGTGAACTTACTTTAATTGTTCTCCGTGTTCGTCACCTGTTACAGCGCCAAACGTCCCTTATTGGTCTACAGGAGCCTCATAGTGAAATCCGCAGACACGCTTAAGCTTTGTCTGATAAAACAATAACCAGTATTTCCATTTCGAGCGGTATAGCAGCGCGAATAAGTTGCTCCATCCTTTATAAATGCCCCACATGATCCCAAAACACTTAATTATCGCTAGGTAAGGCAGTGTGGACTGTCCTCCTCTTGATGATTGACAACGGGGTAAATGGAAGTCACTTTGAAGGGGACGACGGATCCCTTTAAAGAGCGGCTGTATCGATAATTCAAATATTTTAAACCTGTTATAATAAATTGTATACCTAAGTTTTTGTTTCTGTTCCATATGAGGCTGGCTGGATAAATGTAGCGCTAAAATGCGAAGCTGCGTTTCTGTGTTGCTCTGTGCTCCCCTCTGTCTGTGGTGTTTTTGGTTTCGCCCAAACTTGGTTCAGATTTGAGTTCGTTTTCTCTGCTATCTGGTATCGCTCTGTTGGAGGTGAAGGACCGCCTGTCCCCTCTCTTCCTATGCGGTCAATGGCTTTCTGGAAGTATTTTATTTGAATGTCTGGGCGATATACGTGACCAATAATGGATATTCTATGGATATTATGGACCATACCGGCCGTAATAGCTGTTGAAGGTAAGCTAATGTTTTAATTAATGGTTTAAGCCGCATCTTCTTGCCGGCTTTGAGTTTGAGACAAAGCGCGTCAAAAGGCGTATGTTCATTATAGAAGGAAATTAATTACTTTTCAGCCTCTGTTCTGTTGGTGTGTTATAGACTATCATGGCGTGTACAGTCCTTGCATGTAGTCAGCTCAAAACAGCAGGCGAGGGATGATGGTGGGACACAAAAACATGCTCCCGCATCTTACGGATGCATATACGGATGCTGTTTGGCGTTAATAGTAATAATATTAATTACAGAATGAAAGTGTCAGCGTTTCTGTTACACAGCTGGCTACGGCCAGGTTAGAAAACGTGTAATCTCTGTTAGGTAGGTTTTATCCTGTGTATCCGTGGAGGTGTGTCGCCGGTCTCGCCTCAGTTGGTGATAAAAAACCCGTGAAAGACAAACGTGGACGTGTCCTTAAACTTTTTTTTTCAACATGTCTGAGACTAAATGCATAAATACATCTGCTGAACATGTTTTAGTTTTACTTACAAAAGGTATAGTCCTTATGCAGTCATTTATCTGTAATGCTCGGCTAAGCAGTATAGGCAGCAGGCAGCAGTGGCACAATGAAACAGGTTGAATAGAGAAAATAATCTTTATAATAATATGTCAGTACTGTGTCTGTGGTGCTCCAAAATGTAACTATACAGTAATCTTATACTTTCATTGTTCAAATATATAAGACCTCTGGTACTTACAGGGACTATCTTTGTGATATTTGCCCTCTAATCTTCTAAAACCTGTTTGAAAGCTGAAATGAGAGCTATTTCTCCACACTTTCTTTAAATTAAGGGGGGGGGGGTTAATGATTATTTGCAGGTGTTTTATGTGCCTAGACTCTGTTTGCCCTGTGACAGGACAGGAGACATTAACTGTGCTGAAGAATGGAAAAGTGTCATACATTTATTCAGGGTATTTTTAGGATGTTGTCAGAAAACAAACATCTTTTCTTCCTTTGGTCACTTTAACTAAACCACATAATTACAGGTGGAGCTAAGGAACTATGTAAAAACTCAACCAAATGGACGGGATAACCACAGGATAAAACAGCAACAAAAAGAAAAACAAATATTTAGCTCCTTGGTTTACTGTGGAATCATTTGTATATGTGTAATAACATCCCAAATTTGTGTACCAAAGGTTGAAAGACCTGTCAGATCCCATGGAGGACTGGCATACACTTTGACAAACATCATGCATATCTATGCAGACTTCTGCTGACTTTTCCTGTTTTGGTTTCAATGTAGCTACATACCCAAGACCTAAAAAAGCAATCTTGAAGGCTAACATTGCACATATACAATACATACAAAAATCTAGTCCCAGCACTAAAATCAAACAAATTCAGGGAACAATGTACAACATACCTTTAATACAATCCATAAATTGTATTTTTTTGTTTGAATATATTAAAAGTATATTGCGGATTTTTTCAAATCTTATAACATTTCGCAAGCTGATAAAACCAGATGCGTTAATATTAAATCTGCATGAATTATACTGTCATGTCCCATATCTTTGTTTTTAAATAATGAATATTAATATACTGACCATAGATTTATGTAATATATATTCAGTAAAAAATACGTCCTACGAATCTCATAATAGGTCATATATCGTCATCCCATATATGTACATATATTTAAATAGGATTTGTTTTCATTTAATTACTGATATTGCGATTGCTTGATTGCTATCATAATAGTTATTTATTTTTATACATTGCTGTTTTGTCCAAGAACAACCACAGGATGTGAAAAACGCCAAAAAAACAACAGATTCACACTACACAGAATTCCACTTCTACTTGTTTCCTCTTTGTCTTTAAAATACAAACAGGGTTACGGTTTGTTTGTCCACATGTAAAATCTACTGTTAAGTGTATGTGTACGCTGAGAGCATACAGTGCCTCAAATACCATTCGGCACGGTTCTCAAATAGTTATTGATGAAGTACACTTCGTGCTCGATTAAAAAGGTGTTGTTATTCAGTGTAACACTAGATAAGCAGTATCTTGCTGTGTCTTTCGGGAAGGTGGTGTTTCACTTTTTGATTTGGAAACCAACTATTCCCGTCGCCATCCCAATTCTGCCCCCCTCCATTTTACCCTGTGAATCACCCTAGTTGACTGTCCAATGAAGTTGCAAGGATGAGTTACGTATGAGAAATAAAGGGTTGAAAAAGAGGTCACTGCAGCTCTAATTTGAAAAAAAAAAAAAATCCCAGCATGCAACAGAAAAGAACCCTCCAGTGGATCGTTTTGACACGTTTAGTGACGGGATTTCATTTTCCTCCATTGTTTTTTCTGTGTAATAGAGACTGACATCTTCGCATAGTTCTGTCGTTTTTACTGACGAACATGCTAAATGTGTGCTATGTTATACGTACCATTGCATTGCATTATTCGTTGATCACCAAAGCACTATATGTGGTGTCGGAAAGGTTTGGTAAAAACAAAAAACCATAACTCCCACATTTCTTGAAATATACCTGATTTCTGTAGAACTGAAAGGCTGAAAATACTAAAGGCTGCATGTTATACAAATAATAGATTAATCAAGCAGGGAGCATACACTGAAGAGGATTAGAGGATTAAAACTGGGGCTAAACTTAAGGAAATCCTAGCCCTGTCTCAAGTATCGATTTTGTGAATTGTGTCAGCACTGCTCACCATGTGAAGTGTGAAATATTGGAAATTGGCCTTTTAAATACTAACGTTTGAATTTAGCCAGTGACCTTTTTCCTCAGCGTCGTTTCTCTCCTACACCGTGTCCCCTCACTCTGGTAGTATCGCCATGTTGGCGTTCATTCATTAGAGGTATTTGACTGTTTTTCAAAGGCATTTCATTTATCCTGTGGAATGTGAAACAACTCTAAATTGCTGATTAGGGTTAATGTAAGCTGCCGTTGATGCAAAGTCTTATTGGTTTAGTTAACAGGAACAGACAGGCCCTTCTCGAAAATTAATGGAGGTAGTACTGCCAAGGAAATTAGCTTAGCTTTGTCAAACATGTCTATGAAAACACACTGTGGATTTATCCCTTCATTAGTTTACCCATTCAATGTCATCAGTGCTCAGTTGACAGCCATGCTAACAACAGCGCTCAATTCTGTTGAGTGGAAATTCTCAGATTCATCCCTGACCATAAAATTGTAGTAGCCTGTATTGTTCGGAGGAGATGAAATTTACGAGATGGATCATTTGGATTTTCCGACCCGCCCCCTTCTGTTGTGGTGTTACAGTTTGTACTGTGCAAACACAGCAAACGTTTTCTGAGAGTATTGGTATGGGGTTGCTTTGATGCAATAACAAGAGACTTGTATGCAAGTTGCTGTTGGGGTCAGCAGAATAATAGATCACTTTGACAACATTTATTCTCTTTTTCTTTGAAAGAAACATAATGGGACAGAAACCACAGTAGAGGATGGGAAGTAGGGTAGAATGAGATCACAGCATGGAATCTTTAAAAAATGTCTAGCAGATTTGATTGCATTTCAATATGTGCTTCATTCCTTGAGCGCTCTGTTGAACACTGGAGCCCACTCGGTTGAAAGTTGGCAAACACTGGTGGGGTTGATGTTTTCAATTTTTCATTTTTTCATTTTGATTTCATTTTGTAAATTGCATATTACATTTGTATTTTGCATAACCCTTTCAGTACCATTTTCTCACCCAATATAAGGCGGTCTGACAGTTCAAGGCACAGTATGATTGTTAATGTTCTGAAACTACTGCCAAGTTTGGTAAAAATGCTTTCATATGTAAATTCAGTTGCTGTTTTTGACCGGAATTGCTTTCAAAGGAATAGACGTGTGAGTGTAACATGGAAGCATTATGTTTTGTGGAAGAGTAACAAAAGACAGGCGAAGGCGGGCTCCAAAATGGGATTAGATAAAAGGTAAAATGAGCGACCGTATACAATCCAGTGTTTTCTGAGTCCACCCAATGAGCAGATGCAGGGAGCTGGCCTGCACGCCAACCGCCACAGTAGGCTTTCACAAAGAATCTGTCTCTATTCAAGCCTTAATCCATGCTGCCGAGGGCCCAGGCATTGTCACTTTGCATGCAAAATTTCAATTAGTGCTGGTACCAGTTGTTTTACTTAAAGTGGGGTGTCACATTTCAGAGACATCTATGGCTACCTTTAGGGTGAGATTAAGGCAGAAGTGTCACTGCTTTCCTTAAACATTTTTTCTATGGCATAAAGTTAGCGACATTGGTACTACTTGACTCTTTTGCTTTATTCTGGTCCCTGTATGTATTAGACCCAGACCTCGGTCAAGCTGCTAGAGATTCAAATATACTGTAATACATATACAAAGTTTATTATCAGCAGGATGGTTCCCTCAAGTCATTACACATGGGATTGGTGGTGCAGATTTCTGTCTCAGCTGGCTCTGTAAGCAAAAGAGCTCCATATGTTGCTCCTGGCTCCAGCTTGTTCAACCGATTTAACTAAGTTTTCATTTTAAGACATGATTGACTGCTCAACGCTGTTTCCATGCTTTCCGCTGTTTGACTGCTGCGGTTCACTGTCAAGAGCCTACTCTTCACTCTCTCGTGCCTTTAACTGATGAGTCAAGTTTGATTACGTTTACCTCAGTTCAGGATCAGTTTACCGAAGTTCTGAATTTAACTACTACACTGGGAAGTACTGTCATACAAAAACACTAAGCCAAGCTAAAAAGTCAGCTGGATCACACTGCACAACCTCCACAGACTTTACCTAGTCGCTTAACTCTTCATATTACTATGTGTGCTTATGGTATCAGATTCAGAAATACTTTATTGATTTCTGAGGGGAAATTATTGTTTTACAGTTGCTCACTTGCAGGCTAAGGCATTAAAGGAATAAGAAAAAATATAAATGTAAAAATATAAATAGGAGTGTGAAAATATGGACTGTATTTTACAGTATTTGACAGAAGTGTAATGAATAAATAGTAGTAGTAGTGGATAAACA